TTTTTGGTCACAGTCCTTTTTCTTTTATTGCAGTCTTTTCCGTTTTGGTTGATGATCGACCGGCTGAACGCACGCAAGGGAGTAGACACACGGGGCGGTACGAGGAAGAAAAATGCGGAGAGTTTGGGTGTTGTGAGTGAGAAAAGAGGAGAAAGTACCCACGGAGTATCGTTGACAAGAAGAAATAAATTGAGACTTGGAGATGAATGACAAGGGTGATCAATTCGTAGCAAATGATCAACCAAGAAACAAGTCCAGAAGGGCCGATAAATTGCGGGGAGCAAATGGTTCAGTCGTTGTCCTTGTCCGCCGATACTCGTAATCAATCCCCCAAAGCCAATGCGAAGATCATAAAAGACACACTCCCAAACCCGATGGCGACCAGACCGACTGATGACGGCACCGATCCGGCAACAAGAATGAGGCGGTGCGCTTTGATTCCTTGGGCACAGGACACTGTCGAGCAATAGGAAACTCACGCAGGGTCAAAAGGGAAGAGAAAAGCAAATTACAGAGAAAAAGGTGCAGGGAGCGAATGATTTGAATAAGATTTCAGACGATGACGCGGAGTGGTTCGTTGTAGCCGGCGATCCGTGGATAGTGATTTAAACTGCTTGCTCTCGACTTAGTTCGTTGACGACGGAGTCCCTTGAAGTTCGTTGCCCTCTGTCTCGACTCTCGACTAGTATCTCGTCTCATTGGACTTTTACTGGTACGCTAAATGGAAATCCTACGGGTTAGTCAATTTAGTTTGTATCTTTTTAGTTTTTAATTTTATTTTTTTTATAATTTTTATTTGGATGATTTTGTCTCGCTCTCATGCTCACCACCAGGAAGCGTTATTGTGTCTTCTCCAATTGAGAATGTGCGGAGTACACGGAGTAGTAAAAGTAATACTAATATGCCTCGTGGTTCGAACCGGCGGCTTTTTCACAGCCATATAACTCAATCCAATATCCGATCTTGTTCTTGTATATCCTATGACGCGCCAGGGAAATGGAAGAGCATGTGACAGCGATCTCTGCATCCTTCCATGTAATTAAGTACTAGTTACTCGTAGTCTACTCTTTTCGGATAACTCCGAGTAATACTTCCACAGAGCTTTTACAGAACGAGAATCGACTTGACGAACCCATTCCTATGTTTGGGTTAGGTTTTCTTTCCTAGTCGGCTCGAGCCAAGAGCGAACCAAGTCCCTTTGACAACCTAAATTTGTGAGGGTGATGACGTTTCGACCGTAGATTTCTCGGTGCCGAGAAGACAGAGACCAAAGATGGTGGCTAGATTCATCCATGGCGGATATTACGGCACCACGGGATCAGCAGCCTAATGTGAGACTGTGACTTCCGCGGGGCAATGAAAAAATGATCGAAAAAAAAATGACAAGGCGAAGTGAGGGTCTGAGAGTCCATCTGTCAAGCATTTTCGGCACTTTGACCTGTCGTGTGTGTGCGGGGATGCATCTTGAGTGGGCGTGTGATTCATAACTGCAGCGCAAATCGAACAGTGATATCATACGAGATGCATCGCTTGCATTTCGGACGCCCCGTTCATCATCAATCTGGTCTAATATCTTACTAATCGCTTGGCTAACAGTTAACTGACTAGACTGTCAGAGATGTCGATCCCGTTAGTCATGTCAAATCAAACCGCGTTGGGACCTTATGAAATTCTTGATAGTTATGTTACATCGTCGGTACCTTTTGGCGAGGCAATTAAGGTAGGATTGGAAGTTAAAAATAAAATAAACAAACAAACAAAAAAAATACGACCAAAGAGAGAGAATGCGAAAGAATAACGCTAGAATCAAATGCTTGATGGTCTGACACGGTGGATCGAGTGCATTAGTTAATCGCTTAACAAGGTCGCTGTGGACCACTTGAAGAAGATGAAGACATCAATATTGACTTGAAGATTTTGATATAGTATCGAGCCAGGAGATTGAAGAGATCGCATATTTGCGCCAGATTGGAATGAAGGAGTTTCATTCCATTCCAGGATTGTGCAGTTATTTTCCGAAGATGAGTTAATCTGATTTCTAGAAGCCGAGATTAATTTGATACACGAGATTTCCACGAGCCGATGACCTCATAGAATATCCATAGAATGTTTATGCCCAAATCAGGGCCAGTTTGTACCTGAAGCCACGATTAAATCCAAAACAAACACGGCTTGGGAATAGCTTCCTTCCTTCCTTCTAGCTTTCTTTCTTTCGTTCTTCTTTTCCCCAACTTCTTCATTTCCCCCCCCCCCCACCTATTTCAGCCCTCAATGGCAGTGCTCAATTCGGAAAACATCACGAAACAGCGCATGTCCAAACATACGCGAAGCCCCTTGGAGCGGTTCTACATGGCCAACAATGTTACGCGACTTGTAGCCCAAGCGAGCATGCCTGCTCAGCCTTGTGGCTCCGGTAGAGTTTATCCCACTTAGAGTTGATAGTACAAAAATTGTCTAAAGTGACGAACTACCATGCATCGTTACGTTTTCAGGTACTACCGTCACCCCTTGCATGAACCTTGCCATGTGTCTCGGCGAGTGAGGGGACATGAAGGTCGGTAACCAAGTAGAGTCTTCTTACTCATCTTTATGAAGCGTTGTCTATAGCCGATAAACATTGCCATCATGAGTAGTAAACCCCCCAAGCGTCTCCCCGTCGTCCATAGGATAAGAGTCAGCTCTAAGTAAACCAGCTGTCATCAAGCTCGTTCATGTTCATCAAGCTATCACCTTCCAACATACTGGGGTCTCCAACGTCTCCACCGCCAAAATTCTCATTATCCATGAATAAGTCATCGAAGCTAGATTCCCCCGGCGCCATAATATCTTCGGTAGTGTTGCCTTGCTGCCCTTCTGGGGCCCCATTTTGATCGGAAAATACATCGGTCTTCTGCAACTCTAGGTCGAACATATCTCCGCCAGTTGGGATGTTGGCCGCACCATTCTCCAAACCAGGGACTTCGGTTGTCGTGTTCCCACTTTGGTCAACCCCCTTCTCCTGCTCGGCGGCACCAGTCGTATTTGTAGTGCCAAGGTTGGATCCCGACAAAAAGTTCTCGTTCCCCAAGTCGTCATCCCCAAAGTCTAAGTTCAGATCGAAGTCATTCGCCCCGCCAGTATCATCGAGCACTGAATCAAAATTGATCTCACTGGGCCCAGACTGAGACTGATTAGGACCAACCGCACCAGACTCAGCTGGTTTCTCTTCTTTCACAAGGGTTTCACTGGAGTCCTGCTGACTAGCATCGATGCTTGTGTGTGATTGCACGGTGTCAGCCTTGTGCGGTTCTGATTGGACTTGATTTGTGTCAATTGCTGTTGCCTCCGCCTGTGGCGCAGCTTCGGGGTCTTGTATGGTCTCTAATTGACTCATAACAACATCTTCGGCTGGTTGCAGTGCTGCCTTTTGGGCTGCAATAGCCTCGTAGTCCCTCTCCAGGAATGTCTTGGCAATGAACTAATGTTGGTCAGTAAGATCAACATACCATGTGCCCTCCGTTGGTCGACGGAAAAGAAAAACACATACGATCTGCTCGGACAGATTGTCCAGCGCGCTTTGAAACTGCTCATGAGCAACTGGAATTGAGCGCTTGAGTTGGGCCCTGGATTGCGTAGAACCCCCTGATCGAAAAAAGCGGCCGGTTTCGATAAGCTGGCCAGGATCAGTGCTTTTGTACTACAATAAACTGGTCCATAAGGGCAATACCGTTTGATTAACCATTGCCGTTAAAACGGCCAGAGAATCTGGATTTGAAAGGTCCGAAGTAGCCATAGTCACTGTGGCAGTGTCGCGTTGTCTTGGATGTAATCTGCTGGCGGATGATGACTGGATGAAAGCAAAAGATACGAACTACTCTGAGGCTAAGGGGTTCCCTAAGGGGTTCTGTTAGTCGATCAAGACAGGTCCGCAGCTGACGCAAGTTGTAACAGGGGTCCCTGAAAACCTGGAATGAGACGGGCGATAGATCAAACGCAGCAACGCCAATAGCACTCCCGCGACACGGGAGTACCAGGCAGGTAGGTACTACTGGTTTCTGAGATCACACGATACCAATGAAAGGACCAGGAGGACAGCAATCATGATGGTGTAAGATCGTAAACACTTTTGATGTTCTGCGCAAAGGAGAAAGGGTATCATTACTTACCGCAAGAGTGAACAAAAGGACCCTGGCCTAAGATTTTCGAACGATAGGTCAAATTGATGAGCAGTGGAGGAATTAAGCGCCTTACCTGAATGGATTCAATGGAAAGCGACCCGTCAAGGGAGGACTAACGCAAAGGGGCTTAGTGCGCCCCTCACCCCAAGCGGCTCTTGACCATCCAAACTCCTCGTTCTTTTCTCCATTCAGACTCCCGTCAGGTCAGATCATCGCAGCTTTTCTTTTCCCCTGTTTCCATTTCATTTCATCTCTCACGCTGTCCATATCGCACTTTTCGCTGGCGTCGAGACCTGAGTGATTGGGGTTTTCTTCCCTTTTGTTTTTTGCTTTCCTATCTCTTTTCTTTTCTATTTCTTTTTGCATCCATTTCCTCCAGCTCCCTCGTGTTTTATCCCCCCGAATCTTAAGCTTTTTTCCACCTGTTTAACTTGTTGGGGAGAAAGCCGTGTTTTGAGTCGTCTGGATTCTAGCGCATCTTCATCCGTCACGAAGCTGTTGCCTCACCCTCTAATTTCATTTCTTTTTCCTGTCGTTAATTTTGACGACAACGCTTCCTTGTATGCTCCACTAATTTCCTTTTCCTTCTCCTTTTTTTCCCTTTTTTTTTCCCCTGCCCTGTTTTGTCCTTTTTGTTCTTCTGGGCGTTCGATCCCCGCGTCGCTTTCCGCCTTTCGACCTTAAACCAATTCGGTGACTGCGTAACGTTCTGCATCGCCCCGTCCTCAAAAGATCTCATCACTCACACTCACCCATTAAGCGTTACCAACATTCATTGACTTGTGCATTATATTGTTTCAGTGATCAGTTTCCTTGTGTATTGCGGCTTGTGATCTTTCAACAATGGCTGATAACGTACCCACCCAAACTCCTTCGACTCTCCCTCCGCCTCCGCAGACCTCTGCTGCTCCAGGTCAGCAGTACGACGGGACTCAGGGCAACGGCCAGGCCAATCCTTCCCATATGCCGCCGCCCCCTCGCCCTCCGGTTGTGATCCCGCAGAATACCAATCCTATTCCCACAGCGATCACCTCTCCGATGTCTGGAAACATGATGTCCCCAACCAGCGCCGGCGGGTACGTGCGCCGGGCTGCCCCAGAGCCAAACAAAAGAGCTCTTTATGTTGGTGGTCTTGACCCCCGGGTAACTGAGGATATTTTGAAACAAATTTTTGAGACTACTGGACACGTTGTCAGCGTAAAAATCATTCCTGATAAGAACGTGAGTTCTGTGCGTCGTCTACATTCCCTATCAACTGTTGAATGTACATCAGCTTACGTACTAACTCCCGCAGAAGTTCAACAGTAAAGGATACAACTACGGCTTCGTTGAATTCGACGATCCTGGCGCTGCTGAACGAGCTATGCAAACCCTCAACGGGCGCCGCATTCACCAATCGGTATGGTCATCCGAGCCTCCTATACGTTCTAGAACCATCTCTGACGGGATTTGCAGGAAATCCGTGTCAACTGGGCTTACCAGTCCAACAGCTCGAACAAGGAAGATACCTCGAACCACTTCCATATTTTCGTTGGAGACCTGAGCAATGAAGTTAACGACGAAATCCTGCAACAGGCTTTCTCAGCCTTCGGTTCGGTTTCCGAGGCGCGTGTCATGTGGGACATGAAAACTGGTCGGTCCCGGGGCTACGGTTTTGTTGCATTCCGCGACCGTGCGGATGCAGATAAAGCATTGGGATCGATGGACGGCGAGTGGCTCGGGTCTCGTGCTATTCGTTGTAACTGGGCGAATCAGAAAGGGCAGCCCTCCATTTCTCAGCAACAAGCGATGGCCGCTATGGGAATGACCCCGACAACGGCTTTTGGTCATCATCATTTCCCAACTCATGGCATTCAGAGCTACGATATGGTTGTCCAGCAAACCCCACAGTGGCAGACCACGTGCTATGTGGGCAACCTCACCCCTTACACCACGCAGAACGATCTTGTCCCGCTCTTCCAGAACTTTGGTTATGTTCTGGAAACCCGTCTTCAAGCGGATCGTGGATTTGCGTTCATCAAGATGGATAGTCACGAAAATGCTGCTATGGCTATCTGCCAGCTTAACGGGTACAATGTTAATGGGCGTCCCCTGAAGTGCAGCGTATGGTCTTCCCTACCTTTCATAACTTGATGCTTTGCTAACTGTCGTAGTGGGGTAAGGATCGTCCTCCTACTGGCCAGTTCGACAACTTCTCTGGTCAACAGGGTAGCTCGCCCTTTAATAACAGCCCAGCCCCGTATTTCCCTCAGTACGGTGGACCCGGTGGACCTATGACTCCTCAAGGTGAATTTCATCCTATCCTTATGCAACTTTTGGTTTATGGCTAATATGGTAACCCGTAGGTCCTAACCCTGCTGGAAGAGGCTGGGATCAGTCCGGAATGGGCGGCCAGAACTATGGCCAGGTCCCAGGAAATGCAGGTTATGGCCGCGGACAAGCTGCCCCTGCCTCTGGCTGGAACCAGGCCAACAACGCTAATTTTGGGAATGGCTTTGGAGGCTACCAAGCGTAGCCTATCGTCCAGTATACTTCGCTGCATGCCGGCCTTATCGAACGTTCCTTAGATGGACCAATCGAGCATAAGCAGGGCTGCCTGCGTCAACAACTGTGTTAAGAAGAGGCTCTTTCCTTCTCCCTTTCGACTTTTCTCCTCTCTTTTACCTTCTCGTTTAATTTCTTCGTACTACCACATTGTTTCCTTTTATTTTTTACCGTGCTCCCTTTTTCATGATTGTCCCTTACTAAGTGGATTTCTAAGCGCATCTCCCATTCTCAAATGCTTCTCTTTGAAATGAAATTTGTGTGTTATCGTACACCCAATACCCCGAGTCCACTTCGTTGAGTCAATTTTCTCATGCTCTTTGCTTTCCATGAATGTGCGCTACTTTTACTAAGAGCTTCTTGGACTTTCGATTCAAGCGTTCTGCGGAATAAACTAAAAGTACCTCTTCTTGTTTCCTTGTGCTCTGACCCCCTATCTATTTTGGATTATTATTTCTTGATAAGTCACTTTCTATGAGTTTGTATCGTATTCGTTTAGTATGTATGTCTGGCCTATGAATGGGCCCTTGTGTCTTGACGCTCACACGCCAAGTTTCTCTTCTGGTTTGATAGCGGCCTTGCTTTCTCATCTATTCAGTGACTTTTCTCATTTCAAGTTTATCTATACCTCGCTAACAAGCTTAACGTGTCCCCGGGATCCCGAGGCCTCTCTATGCGTTGCATCTCGTCGGTACTTTTTCTCATGCTTACTTTATGATACCACCCTTGAGACCATTCTTGTCCTCGGTCCAGATTACGACTTGATGCCCTGGAGTTTCGGATACCTTTTCTCTTTTACTGCCTTGGATCAATTAGTTAGCGGACATATGACAGCTATCGGCAACAAGTACAATTTGAGAACGGCTGTTGTATGAATAATGACTTGATCTTTTTCTTCCGCGATAGTTCTATAAGTAGTAGCGGTCGCCACAAATATGGCCTGTCCAGACAAGTGCTGCGAGCGAGTAGAACATATACATTGGCGATGGTTCGGACAACCTGATCGAACCATGGGTGAGTAGTACCTTAACTGAAGGTACCGCCTCGGAGGCTCGGCTGGCTTGGCTCGGGCGGCGTCAACTCTCCCCTTCGTACTCTCACCATAACCATCTTGCCTGATGGAATCTGCCAACATATAATTCAAGGAACACAAATCTGGATGCTGGTGACTAATGGCCAGCTGAGCTAATAACGCCCAGCTTGCGCCAATGGAAGATGCAAGCGACAGCAGCAGGGTGGCACTACCGTTGGATAACGATGATCAGCTCTCCGGACGGACGCGCTCAGAAAGCGCAAGCAGCGGACACAAGCGCAGCTCATCCGGCTCCCTATTATCCAAACTCTCTTTTCTCCGTATGATACAAGCGACTCATAACAACCCGGAGCGGGCTCATTCCGGCATCGACCGTGATGATAGCGATGGTTTTGGTTCTAGTGTACGGGGGGGCAGAGCAATGGCTAGCGCGCTACAACAACGAAGAACGCGAAGGAGGAGGGGTTCACTTCGAAAAACCGCCCTACTAGGCACGCGATTTGAATATCGAGATAAAAAAGCCTCCCGAGCACCGATCGACATGCCACGGGCAGATGTTATCGGACAACAGCAACAACAGCTTGCCACGGGCTCACGAATGCAACAACCGTTACCTGACACCGTTTCCCCAGACCAGATCGTGCCCCACGGAAATGCAGAACAAGATAGTCATCCGGAAGATATGGTATGGGAAGGTTTCATGAATACGCAGCCAAAGTCACTGGATCAATCCGCTCAGCATCACCGGCAGAACCGCTCCCAAAACAGTATCCTTGGCGGAGAGATAACTACTGATGATGAAGATATTGTGTTTTTTCCTCCTTCTAAAAATACAAATGCCGCTGTTGCTGCTGCTGCGGGTCTACATCTTCAGTCTGCTTCTTCGAGCTCGGATTCCTATTATGCGCTTTCAGCGGACTCAACGTACCGAGCTATGCATCGCACCAAATCTCCTCTTGCGACGCATGCGGTTGACATAACTAGTAGTCAGGATATGAACTGGGATTACTCAGAGACGGAGTGGTGGGGCTGGATTATTCTGATAGTGACATGGCTTGTTTTCGTCGTGGGCATGGGCAGTTGTTTTGGTGTCTGGAGCTGGGCTTGGGATGTTGGAGAAACTCCTTATGCGCCTCCGGAGCTTGAGGATGATCCCACACTCCCTATTATTGGGTATTATCCTGCTCTGATCATCTTGACGGCCGTCATGTCATGGGTATGGGTTGTGGTTGCGTGGGTGGGCATGAAATATTTTAAGCATGCCAATATATCGGGTGACGATACATAATGCCTGCTATTCCTGTATAATACATTTCTTTGTTTTATTTTGTATTGTGATTTCTTAAACGGCACGATGCCAATGACCTGGAACTCAGGACACCCAATGTGATAACCTAATTTCTAATTATAACCCCGAAGAGACCCAGTCAAGACTATGTGTGCTAAGATTAAATGATGTACCCCCCGTATCAGAGACAAAAAGAATACCCCGACCCAATACCAACGCCAATGACCTCAATTGTTGGTTATCATTAAGTCCAGCTTAATACCTCGAAGCATACAAAAGCCCTCAATGTGAAATTGCACATTTGTTAGCGAACTCTAGCTGATGCTGACCTAGTCCTCCAGCGGGATCATCTACTCTAGTACCATTGACGCTTATTGCAGGAGCCTTTGGCTCGGTGTTTTGAGGTTGGACTGTTGTGCCAGGAGCCGTGCTAACGAGACCCTTCGACACAGCATAGCAGGATGAGCGGTCCTGGTTCAAGTCCTCGCTATAGAACTCATCCATGATGGGATGTAGAAGGACCGTCTGCTTATGGATAGTAACAATCGAGTTGGCGGGAACCGAAACCCAATTATCTATAGAAGTTAGCCCTCAACCCTGTGGGCTAGGTAGGTCGTAACTCACGTCTCTCAAACGTAATCGGCTCACTTGCCACTAGGACAATGTCGGCTCCCTTATCGTGACGTTCCATCTTGAAGTGGCCTTTAACCTTTCCCTCCTTCCATTTGGTGCCCGATGAGAAGTACAAACTGGCAGGCTCATCCGTCTTGCTGCTGATATACCGCGTACAAACCACCGTATGGCCATCCGTTACAGCAAAATTGAGCAAGCTGCGGGTCTCAATACCAGAAACATTATGTCTCTTGGGGATATCCCGAATGAACTCATTAATCTTTGCAATAGTCTTGACCATCACCCGTCGTAGGAGCCCCTGCCCAAAGCCCTCCGGACCGGGGTCCGAGCTCGGATCAACACCCTCCTTCTCCAAGAGGTCAAGGAACAACGCAAAAGCCCATTCGCTATCTGTGCCGCCTTTCACGCCCAGATACCAGCGATCCGCGAGCGAATCGCCCAGCGGCCGCTTGATATACTGCCAGCCACCAACGTTGCCGTTGTGCATCCACATCAACGTATTGTGTTGGAACGGGTGGCAGTTGTTATCTGATAGGGCTCCTTCCGTGGTTGCGCGGACATGCGCGAAGATCAGATTGGAGCTGGTTTTGGATGCTAACCGTTCAAGATTCTCACAGTTCCAGGCTGGGAGTGTGGACGTGAAAATACATGGTTCTGGGCCGAGCTTGGGGTCCGTGTAGAACCCTACTCCGAAGCCATCGCCGTTTACTGGACGGCGGTTATCCTGTAATCAGCGAGTTAAATCATGTTTCGGGTATACAGAACGGGCTGCGTGAAGTCTCCAGGTCATGATTCGAGTTGATACTTACCAGTCTAAGACGGGAGTCATATGATTGAGTCAGAATTGAATGACTGGGCTCTGTAACTAATTTGCTGAGACGTATCTCATGTCGGCCCTTGTATACCTGGCAAGAATAGCGGTCAGTTGTATGACGCATAGAAATAGTATAGATTGATTTACCAAAAAGCGGCACATGGCGAGAGAAGTGAAGCTCTCTCTAAAGGAGTTCAGTGTTTGCGACCAGGAACTCAAGGATAAAACGGTTCCAGGAAAGGGTTATAGCTATGGACGTAGCCGGAGTACGGTGTAGCAATTCTATTGCCCGGCGGCCGAAGTCGCAGCTTCTGGAGAGGTTTAAAGATGCGTTTTGTTCCACAATTGACAAAGGTAAAGCCCAACGACCACGAAACGAATAGAATGGAGTCAAAGTATAGAATTAATTCAATTCAATAAATACAAAAGATATTCAGGAGTAAGATATATAAATATACCTACGTCTGTGCTTCAGTACTACCAATGTCGCCATTTCAACCACACGTGACTCACACCGACTGTATACGGACGGCGAAGCGGCCATTGGCGCAGGTCACGAGGTTCTCCGTGCTGGAGGTTCGGTCCGCCTTCGCGTGGTACCGACATTATGACATCCGATTATTTTGTTGCTACTGCTATTGTTCGACGCACCAGCAACCTAAATCTACCGCCGTGGCTTTTAGCCCGGAGATGACCGATTCTATTCTTTCAATCCGCTTGATGTGTATGCGATTTCGAGAAGCATGAGCGGGAGAATCCTCTCCCACCGTCTTGTTCCGCTCTTGCGGACGGGCTTTTTGGCCCGCCATGTTCATAATGCTGGTGCAAGGACTGGAGGTCTTCTACGTTCAGATGGCAGCGCCGCACTTCGAGGACGCGCCTGGCCTGTCGGTGCGAACTCGATTCATAATGTCCCCGCTGTGCGGGGGATCTCCTTTGCGAGGATCCTTCCGAAGCTGGCACTAAAACTAGTGAAGGTGCCTGCAATGCTTGGAACGGCTACAGTAGCTGGGTTAGCTTATATTCAATATCAAACTACACGTATGTTCCTATCTTCCGATCTCAGGAACTATTCATCTAATCTTTATGGTTACTATAGAGGCAGGAAATTATGCTATTGATGTGCTGAAACGTGCGGGGGAGTCGGCCAGTGACACTGCTTCCTCCATCTTCTCCGAAATCCAGAATGTGGCTGAACAGACACAACGTGGCTGGCAAAGGACTACGGATAGTGTGGAAGTTCCTGAATGGTTGCAAAACATCCTAGGCTTCAGTGAAGGTTCCCAAAACGACGGTTCCGGGGGAGGAGGGCAGCCCCCAAGAGAAAGCCGGGCTGGTGCCGCTGCAGCTGCTGGGGCGGCGGCTTTGGGTTACGACCAAGATGATGAGCACGCCCGATTGACCAGGAATGCGGAGGACGACCAGATGATGCTCCTTACTCGTAAAATGATCGAGATCAGGAACATACTCCAGGCTGTTGGCCAGTCCAACACCCTGACATTGCCGTCAATTGTAGTCATTGGTTCGCAGTCATCCGGCAAAAGCTCCGTTCTCGAAGCTATTGTTGGGCATGAATTTCTTCCCAAAGGCTCGAATATGGTTACCCGGCGGCCGATCGAACTTACTTTGGTCAATACTCCTCACGCACAAGCAGAATATGGAGAATTCCCTGCCCTCGGGCTAGGGAAGATAACCGACTTCTCTTCAATCCAACGCACCTTGACCGACCTTAACTTGGCAGTCCCTGAGAGGGATTGTGTCAGCGATGACCCGATTCAACTCACCATCTATTCTCCTAATGTTCCCGATCTTTCCCTCATCGATCTCCCAGGTTATATCCAGGTTTCCGGCCAAGGTCAACCTCCACAGTTGAAGCAAAAGATCTCTGATCTATGTGACAAGTACATCCAAGCGCCAAATGTTATCTTAGCCATATCAGCGGCAGATGTTGATCTTGCCAATTCGACAGCATTAAGAGCAAGTCGCAGAGTAGACCCTAGGGGTGAAAGGACGATCGGTGTCATCACAAAGATGGACCTTGTCGACCCAGAGCGTGGCTATAGCATTCTTACTGATAAGAAATACCCTCTTCGCCTGGGCTACGTGGGTGTGGTCTCGCGAATCCCCCAGACGACCGCTCTGTTTTCTTCTCGGGGAAGTGGCAACATCACGAGCGCGATCATGAAGAATGAAAATGCCTATTTTTCTTCTCATCCCTCTGAGTTTGGGCCTCAGTCAGAGGTGTCGGTTGGCGTTGGAACTTTGCGAACCAAGCTTATGCATGTTCTTGAACAGACGATGGCATCTAGCCTAGCGGGTACTAGGGACGCTATCAGCCAGGAACTGGAAGAAGCGACGTACGAGTTCAAGGTTCAATATAATGATCGTCCGCTGAGCGCCGAGTCTTATCTCGCCGAGAGCCTGGACAGCTTCAAGCACTCCTTCAAGGCATTCGCCGAGAACTTTGGCCGTCCCCAGGTGCGTGAGATGCTGAAAAATGAGCTCGATCAACGCGTTATGGACATCCTCGCTCAGAGATATTGGAACAAGCCAATCGACGACCTGAACCCTCCGATGCCTGAGTTGGATCCCCTCATTGACCTTCCCAAGGCCGACCCGGAGTCAATGTATTGGCACCGTAAGCTCGACGCGTCGACATCCTCCTTGACCAAGCTGGGAATTGGCAGGCTTGCTACAACAGTTGTTGCTGGTGCAATCCATTATCATGTCGAGTCATTGTTGGCCAGCTCTACCTTCGCCTCCCACCCGTATGCTCAAAAGCAGATCGTGGATGCTTGCAGTAGCATCCTGAATGATCGATTCTTCAGCACCAGCGATCAAGTCGAGAACTGCATCAAGCCTTATAAATACGAAATCGAAGTTGAGACCCGGAGTGGGCTAAGGGAAGGGAAAACATAACAAGAGTGCTAAAGGAGGAGCTTAAGGCGTGTGAGGCAGCTTTGAAACGTGTTGAGGACTCTGTTGGGAGGAGAAAGATCAAGGATGTGATGTCATTCATAGACAAGGTCAGGAAAGGTGAAGTGGTCTTGGAAGGCGACGGCGCTGGTGGAGCAGGTGGATTCAGCTCTGCCCTGCTAGCCACAGGTATGTATACGTTCCCTATGCTACCAACAGAGGAAGCTAATCAAAACCAGGTCGTGAAAGCACCTTCCTGCGCGATCGGGCTGATCTCCTTAAGATGAGACTCCTCGCTGTCCGCTCGAAGCAATGTGCCAGCAAGAAAAACAAGTACTACTGCCCCGAAGTCTTCCTTGACGTCGTCGCAGACAAGCTCACATCAACCGCGGTACTATTCCTCAACGTTGAGCTCCTATCAGAGTTCTACTACAACTTCCCCCGAGAACTGGACATGAGGCTAGGCCGTCACCTCTCCGACGCAGAAGTAGAACGCTTCGCCCGCGAGGACCCTCGCATCCGGAGACACCTCGACGTGATCAAGAAGAAGGAACTCCTCGAATTAGCCCTGCAGAAAATCGAAAGCATCCGCCAGTTGGACGGTCGCAGCAAGCATAGAAACACCGACCGCCCCCTGTCCAAAGAGCAGAGAAATCGTGGCTGGAACTTGTTCTAATTGATTATATCTCTTGCTCCACTACCTCCTTCTTCGCTCCCTCTCCTTCCTTTTTTCATTGCTGCCGCCACATTACATTCTCTTCGCCACCCTTCTCTTTACCTCTCTTACCTAGCTTCCTGTATACCATACCACCAATAAGGTCTGTTTATAGCTTAAAGAATCTCTTCAGGATAGGCGTTAGCACAGCGAGTGCTTGGTTTATTCATTCCTCTCCCTTATCAGAAGTTCATGTGAAAATCATCTGGCATGGATAGAAATATCTACATTCCACATAATGCAAACCTACAATGTTACTCCAAATAACTTGAACAATCTATAAAGTAATCCGTAAACATTCCCATACATAATAGAAGGGGAACCGCATTTATAAACCATAAAAATGCACATCCTTACCAAAGATATTATTATGACAACGGTTCAAAGATAGGAAATGTAAATGAACAAAAGAAAGAATATAGAATGATTATGGCCAAATCTAACAAATCTAAATAAACAGTAACCCCACAACCGGTCTATCGATTTCGTACACAGAGATAAAGATTAATGCTTTTTGTTCTTCTCTTCTTTTTCCATTTCCAGCGTGCCTTGGGGGTTTATCCTTCAAGGCGGGTCTCGTGGGGATATCAAGTGGACCTTCTAGATGTGGAAAGAGGGAGATGGGCATTGACGGAGTGGATGATGAGTGTCCCATTCATTTTCGATGGGGAGGATAAAGAAACGAGAAAAGAGAGAGAGAGAGAGGGTAAAGGGTCATGTGAACGGGCATCAAAAGGTAGAATGGTCGAATAAACGGGGGAAAACAAGAATTCTCGCTCCGAAATCATAGACGTAGCATATCTGCTGTTTTTGGTGGTACAGTTGGTTCCAAATCTATATGCGAGAGATTGATTTACTCCCGAGAGACGTCACGGCCGAACATCTTGGCCTTGACCCAGTCGACGGCGACCAGGACACGGTTACGAGCTGTTTCATGTGTTAGCACGGATTATCCTGTTGTATAGGTATGCGAAAGGGATCACTTACTGCTGAAGCACATGCTCAGGTAAGCACTGCGCCAGAAGAGATAGGTCATGGTACCACCACTTGCGATGTTGCCGCTCAGCCAGCTGATGTCTGCAACCGCACGCTCCTTTCCGATGTAAGCCAGACTTCCCTGGTGGGAGTACTGGAAGGGGCCAATCTGCTTGGTTCTGCGCAATTGCTTCTGGCGTTCGCGGATCTCATCGAAGATCTGGTTGCGCTCCTCGGGGCTCTTGGCCTGTGCTTGAGCCTCCGACAGTTGCTTCAGGTCATCCTCGATCGACTCGGTCTTAGCCATAGTGTTGAAGAGACGAGCAAGGAAAGCACCCTCCTGACCAGCAACCTGAGCAGTGGGGGCATAGTTGGTGATGGCGCAGTCACCGACGGCCCAAACGTTCTCGGCGCCATTGACGACAAGGTATTCGTTAACAGCAAGACCACGGCGCGAGTTCTTCTGGGCGGGGAGCTGGCTCATCAGGTCCCGGACAACAGGGCGGACGGCGTTACCGGTAGCCCAAACCAGGAGACCGTAGGGGATGGTTTCCAACTCCTTGGTTCCGTCGGGCTTGGTGACCTCAGCCTCGATGTACTTATCAGTCACGTTCTTGACCATGGTCTTCGTGCGGATGGTGATAGCTTCCTCCTTGAAGGTTGACTCGGTGTAGTCAATCAACTGCTTGGAGAACATGGGAAGCACGTTGGGAAGAGCCTCAACGAGGGTGACCTTGAAGTTCTCCTTGATCTCCGGAACCCACTTCTTGAGATCCTCCTCGAAGAAGTCCTGGATCTCACCAGCGAACTCCACACCAGTGGGGCCACCACCGACGACAACCATGTGCAAAAGACGCTTGATCTCATCCTCAGTCTGGTCCTTGAAGATAGCGGTCTCGACACAGTCCATGATACGCGTACGGATCTTCTGGCATCGCCGACCTCCTTCAGGAAGCAAGAGTGCTCCTTGACACCCTTGATGCCTATTGATGCGCAAGTCAGCGTTGGTTACTTCGCTGGGTTTACTCTAGGTTACATACCGAAGGTTGCATTCTCAGCACCGACACCGACAACAAGCATATCGAAAGGCACCTCAGTCTTGGAGATGTCACCCTTGATTTCAGAGTCGTCACTGATGTACACGACACGCTTCTCATAGTCAATCTTGGTCGCCTCGGCTTCGTAGAACTTGACGTAGGCATTCTTCTGGCGCGTGATGTTACGGATGGGCTCCATAATCGAGCGATGTTCGACCAAACCCGTGGTGCAGGAAGGCAACAGAGGGGTGAAAAGGAAGTAGTTGCGGGGGGAGATGACGACGACATTGTAGTTCTCGGTATCCAGCTTCTTCAGAAGAGAAACAGAGCCCCAGCCGGTACCTGCGCGGGGTTAATCGCATGTCCAGATTGTGTAACCATATCAATGGCGAAGACACCGGATTTGAGGCAACCTACCGAGGATCACCAGGGTCTTCTTCTTGGGGTCGGGTCCAATCTGCTCAATTGGATGACGGAGCTCATAGACGCTATACGCCACATAACCGGTGAGGCCGAGACCGGAGAGCAAGGTCAAGCGCCAGGCCCAGCGCAAGAACCTGAATCCTTTCTTGGGCTTCGGCGCGGGCGCGGCGTCAGCGTACGAGCGGCGAGCGGTGCGCTGAACGGGCTGCTGGGAGAAACCGCTGGATCTCAAGGGACGAGCGGATCGAAGGGCATGAGGGCGCGTCGAGAGCGACCTGCGCGACAGCGACGACATGACTGATGGCGTAGCCATCTTGGACCGGATAGCAAGCGCACTTCCAACCATTATCGGTTGTGGTCGCCCAGTATGGGGGGTAGGAGTGGAGAGGGAGAGGAGAGTTGAGAGGGGAGAGAAAGGAGAAAGAATCTGGAAACTGAATTAGGATTCTAGTAATTGACAATTGAGTCAAATCAGTTTCGTCAAGCTAATAAAAAAAAGACAAAAAAAAAAAAAAAGTTTTCGGAGGCGTTGGAGCAGTGACGCGATAAGAAATTAGCTGTTTTGGGCGAATCGGTGTGTCAATGACTTGTACGCCTTGGAGCCTTGGAAGTTGGGTGTCTTTCTGACGCTGTCTGGCGCTCTCAAGGTTCCGCCGGGCTTATGCCTTCCCTATTAGGAGCTGTTCCGCCTCTGTGAATGGGGCAAAAAACTGGGTCGAAGGGATTTGCAGCCTGAGGAAGCCGCCGGGGCCCAGATGCCCTCCCGATGAACTGGGTCCGGTTCCGACCCTAATCTATTTTTTTATTTTTTTATTTTTTTTTTATTTTTTTTACACTCTTCCCTCTGGGATAATCGATTTTCCTGCAGGCTGTTGGAGAATGAGGGGGAGGTTTCTGCTGGTGAGGAGAAGCACTCGACAAGCCTTATGAGGGGGAATTTCTATCTGCAATGGAGATCCTACGGTGGGTATGAAGCTCTCTTATACACAGTTTCCTAGGTGGAGATGACGGACAGAAGGAAAGGGATTGTCAACAAGGATTCCTCCGTCCTTCTAGACCTTAATCGTCTGCAGTATGGACAGGGATTCTTATCGCCAGGACGAACTTGTAGCGATGTGCTTCCTCTCCTCTGTACCGACAGAGCTGCGCCGAGTATGTACTCGGGGTATGCATGTACAAAGTCGCATAACTCCCGTAACGATGAATATTATGACTCAACCGGCGACCAAAAGTCCACTTTCCCCTCAGCTGGCGTGCAATCCGGGCGTTCCATTACCGTATCGTTTCTCCTAAATTTCCTGTTTGGGGGGATGCGCAATGTGCCATGGCAGCTGACTCAGATCCCACTGGCGGTCCTTCCCGAGAACCAGCCGGGTTCACCCGCATCTAGACCTTGCCAGCTCCTTTTGAAGCACCACGTCGAACAAAACCCGGATGAAGGCCGCCGTAAGAATCCGGGGAAGCTGATCCACTCTCTAATCTTAGCTCCTCTGCGTCTGTCTGTGGCAGTTTTCGATTCATTTAGACTTCCTGTCCAGAGTCTACCCACCGAACGGTCTGGATAGCTCATACGGCTTGACTTGATTGATCTTCAGAGTTGCCACTGGAGTAGCTTAACTCTAATCGGAGTAAACTCGGCATTGGATCCTATGTCCAAGGTGACCTGTGAGAAGAGAAGGCCTATCTCGCTTCCGTAGCGTTTAGTGTTCGATCCTCAGGCCACGTCAGGGTCCAGTCGAGACTCGTAAGCCCTTTGGGCAAATGTGCTCAAATTCTTATGTGCGTATGGGTTTGCTATCTCCGGGTCGTTAGCTATCATGCCATGAATACGAGGGTATTATGCTGTCCCTGGATCTTCCGGTAGGGCCACAAGACATCGCATGTGGCTACCACATGATGTTAGGTCGGGAAGCAATGCTCAATGTTGAGAGACATGGATAGAATTGCGATTTCCATCATATTCATGTCTGTGCTGTTGGAGAATGCTTGGTCATCGATGGACCGCGTCCCGAGTGGTCAATACGTTGTGATATAAATCCCGCTTGTGTTCAGCTCTTCAGAGATCAGGACTACATAATTCTATGACAGTGGTTTGTTCAACAACGTGAATACATCGCTAGTCTGCATTAGCTCAAGGATCGTATTTAGACTATATAGAATCAAAGCTATACTCTTACTTTATCATCCTCGAGTCAATGCTGATATAAAAAATGCAGAACTATACAAAACAGCAGAACGTCAAGTATGCAAGGTTCAAAAGATCCAAGACAGTAGAGATAAAACAGACAAGGGAAAAACAAGCTAAGGGTTCCGGACATGCACACCATGAAACCCGAAGCCAACCACACCATCAACCGTAGCCCTCCCGATCTCTGTCATCGTCTTTGCATCGAGAACTAACAGATAACTACGTCCTTCGATGCCGTCCAGCACGACGGATAGAAGTACACCACCATCCTCGTCCTCTGAATCCGGATCGGCCACAAAAATCGGCTCACTGGCCGTCTGCCCATGCTGACTCCAATAGAGAGATGTCTGCGTGGCGACGTCATGTTTGACTAGACCGTCCAGGAAAACACTTTGCCCCGAGTCGGTCACGCCGTATACGTAGCGGTACTTGCGGCCGCCTACCCGAGGATTGATACGAGGCAGTTCCGGTCCTAGTCCCTTTCCCATCGAGAAGACGAGTTCCGCCGTGAGGGTTTTGGAATTTGATCCTTCGGGAACGGCAGGCAGACGGAAGCGTTGGAAAGCGCCGCGAGCCCTCTGGTTCTTTGAATCGCCATATTGGTGGGCTGTAGCGGAGTCGGACAGTAAGTTGTCAATGTAAAAACGTTTTAATACGTCTAAGCTGTCGTATGCACAAACATCGGCGATTATATCTGTCTTGGAGGGGTCGGTCGAGGAAGGCTCTTCATATGCATTGATAGTGTGGAAACTGAAGAAGGGATCGGACTCGTAGCGCGCGATCAATCCACGCCCTCCAGGAGTACGATCTACCACGAACCAAGTGCTGCGTTGTGTAGGATCATAGTCGGCCAATGCATCCACAAAGTTGTGTGTCCATAGCAGGGACATGCCTCCGGCACGCAAGCGAGCGTTCCAGAGACAGAGCACGACGTAGTGCTCCGTCAGAAAAAGAGAGTGCACGTATGTAGCAGCATGCCTGAACGTTGCGAGAATGCTGGTTTTCCCTGTTGCGCGAGAAACGTGGAAGATACGATAGGTGCTTGTTAGACCCATGTCTAAGTTGTAGTTGTAGATATCACCGGTGGTCAGGTCTGTCTTGCAATGGGCCGCGCTAAGGGGTCCCCGGAGCGAGGGATGCAAGACTGTTTGGTCCGCAATACCAATTGGTTCCAGGGTTTGAGGATCGAGCATCTGGAAAGTAGAGTTATCGGTGCGGTTACAAAGTGTCTCGATGCCTGGCCCAGCCATCTTCTCCTGCTTGCTGCCTGTAGCTGACAACCCGGGAAAATTAACGTTCAGAGTGACGCTGATGTCGACCTCGTCGGGAACTCCTTGTGGAATAGTCTTAAAAGTCGATTGCGCCTTCTGGAAGAGCGACATACACGGATCATACTTGGCTCCAAAGGTGATCTCTCCACGATACCCTGTTCGCTGTATCCTTCGGATGAGGCCGTCGCAGGTCAGTCGGGAGTTGTGTGTGACGCGAACCCAGGGCTGTTCCGATGTAGGAGCATGAATCTGAAAACGATGGACCTGGGCAAAATAGTCGAACCAGTGGCTCACACGATAAGTGGTTTGTTTCTCCGTCTGGATATCGCGAGGGCCTAACCCGTTGCGAAAGAGCACGCCGGCGCAGTAGGGCGGAATAGTGCCCTGGACCGGTAACTCTGTCGGCTCAAGCTCTTGATAGCGGACATCAAACTGGTTTGTCAATGAGGCTGTTGAATATGATAGCGAATGCGACTTACACCCTGTGCGTTCGGCCAGTCATTATAATGGGTGGTAGTCGTAGACTTGTTAACTGACGACGCCATGTTTGTTCAGTGCTGATTTTCAATAGTGTATCGGGGAGAGGAATGACCGGTTTATAAGATCAAAAGCCAAGGTAACAAGAATTCCAACACCTTCTGTATCCATAGTTGGGTCAACCTCGTATAGGACTCGGACAACGATATTGCTCCGTCGGGACAGCCCCTCAAGTCAGGTAACAGCATAGCTCATGCGGGAATAAGCTAGCCAAAACCACGTCATCGCCACAATTGAGGAGATTCAAGTGGACATGTGTGGTTAAAGAGAGCAAGCCAAGCAAAGCAGTTACAGAGACAAGTCACACGATCACTCTTTGGATGGACATCGTCGTATAAAGATGCCGGCTATGTCATCATCATAGGACTAACCGCGGACATTAGGGTTTGGTGGTTCGAACCTTTGGTTTGAGTGTCGCGAGAATAGTCTGTAGAGCTCTCAATAAGTTGGATAATGAATCATGGATGACTGCAGAGTTGTCGTTTAGACGATGATATGCGGAATAGTCTTAATGCCAGATGCGGTAGTGGATTGCGACCGAACAGGATCTTGCTAAACATGGAACCTGATGATTCTTTTCCAATGAGATGATGTGTATGTTGGCAAAGGATAGCTATCATAGTGATACACTGTCCATTCACCCTCGTCGGCTCTATCTCATGGGTCATTTCCACCCGATATGGTGTCAGTTAAGTAAGTATAACCGTATTTCCAGTCATTCTCCGTCCGTGCGCAGCAGGAAATGTGATGTTTTGGTCGTTGAACAGGTTCAAGTTATCTCTGGTTTTTCGACGCTTCCGGTTTTTTCTTCGAATGACTGGGACTGAAAGCGGAATGTCCATAAGATATACCTGTATATATTCAGCATGTGTACAACTTTAGTATAACTGTGATCGCGCCTCCGTCGGCTGCCGCATTGCCAGCTGTTACCTTTGGTTGTGCACAAGCTTGATCATGTTGATTCTCTGAGAAGTCACAATTTACAAGTTTTATCCAAGGAGATGAAACACCTGAGGTGAAGAGCCCTAAGCTCTCTGCAAGCATTCCATGCATCCGCCTATCATTCGGTCCCGGAGATAAATAAGTCGCCGGATTCCCCTCATTTTGCGTGATCATCACGACACTTTAAAGGCGACTCCGACCGTTCCCTTAACTGAACACTGGGATAAACCCTTCCTCTAACAAATGAAGGGGATGTACAGCAATACTTATCGCCATGGCTCGCCCGACCATGAATAGAATCGCAACGATCCTCTGGGGAAGGGAGCCGAAGGATCGAGCCCTACTCGCGAAATTAGATCTCACGCTGCTCCCCTACTTTTCCCTCATCTGGTTTCTGTTCGGTGTAACACGAGCCAGTTACTCGTCAGCATATATCAGTGGCATGCGCGAGGCCTTGAACTTCCAGGGAAAAGACTACAATTACATGAACACCGCCTATTTGGTCGTCTACGCCGTCTGCCAAATTCCTGGGACGAGTCTTTTGACCGTTGTGCGGCCCAAATATGTCTTCGTTGCAGCCAACTTGACATGGAGTGTTCTCACTCTTATCACGTACAGAATGACTCAGGCCTGGCAGGTTATTCTGCTGAATGCCATTGAGGGCGGCTTCTCGGCGATTGCCTAGTGAGTAGCACCCTGCACCAGATGACGTGATTTCCTTGCGTCTGACATCCTGGCAGTGTGGGTGCACACTTTATCTTGGGGTCTTGGTATCGCAAGTCTGAGCTAGGTACTCGAGCGGCCGTCTTTTGCTGCTTCGGCCATGTCGGCAGCATGGCCGGCGGATGGATCCAAGCCGGACTGCTGAAAGCATTAGCCGGGCACGCTGGTTTACCTGCGTGGCGATGGATCTTTATCATCGTCTCAGTGATGACGATCCCCGTTGCATTATTCGGTATGTCCCCGGAAAAGCTAAGTGCATCTTCAGATACTGATACAAGACTGCTAGGATGGTTTTTCATCCCTGATCTCCCGGCACATCGCGCAGCATGGTATCTCAACGAGGCCGAGAAAGAGCACGCCGCGCACCGCTTGGGCCAGACATCCAAGCAAACGTGGGACCGCACTGTTCTGAAGCGCGTCTTGCTCAGCTGGCAATTCTACCTCCTACCACTCATCTTCATGCGTGAGCCACTTCCCCTTTCCCAGACCACCCTACAAAGTCTAACAAAAGAAAACCCAAGTCTACTCTCTCTGCGTCCAATCCCTAAGCAACAACGTCATGGCCCTCTGGATGTCCTCGCGCGGCTACACAACCATCCAACAAAACAACTACCCAACAGGCATCTACGCAACCGCCATCCTCGGCACGATCCTCTACTCCGCAATCTCCGACAGACTGCAATCGCGCTGGGAATGCTCCCTCGCAATCGGGCTAACCTTCGTCATCGGCAGCGCAATCCTCGTCGCCAACCCGGCCGCCGACGCAGGCCACTTCTTCGCCTTCTACCTGCTGGGCACGACCTACGCGCCCCAGGCCCTCTGGTACTCGTGGATGGCGGACGTCACGGGCCACGATCTACAGCTGCGCGCCATCACGACGGGATTCATGAACTCGTTTGATTTTGCGTTCGTCACCTGGTGGCCGTTGGTGTTTTATCCCGTTACGGATGCGCCGCACTTTGAGAAGGGGTACGTGGCTAGTTTGGTTACGGGGTCGTTGACCATTCCATTTATTGGGCTTGTGGCGTATCTGGATCGGAGAGACACTGCTAGAGGGGTCATTGGGAGGATTTCTGGGGTTGTTGAGGATCCTGTCGACGATGACCACGCCCGACGCCAGGGCGAGATTGATGACGTTGATGATCATCCTGATGATCCTATTCCTACGACGGAGGTTACGGTTGCGAGTAAGGTGTGATGAGATTAGACACTTCATTTTAAGTTATAATATAAACACCAGACAACACATATATATATATATATAGACAGATACATAATGACACCAGATACTAAAACACACATCCACACAAACAACCCCTACCACCCACTCCTCCCCAAATCCATATACTAGTGATACCTATATAAAATAACCCCTCCCCCAAAAAGAAACCAACACACCCAACTCCAGAACCACAGTTCCACCCAGTCTCCAATACACCGGACAATTAACCATCCCTTCAGTAAACACACACAAACCCACCTATCCATCCCAATAAATATACATAAACCCAAGCAAGGAACCCCCCAAACTAGAGATATGACCCATCAACCACCCAAGCATACATACCCTAATGTACAAGTATGCATAGACAGACGCATGTATCAGTATGTGCATACGTGCCCAGAATACATAGCTGTTGCATGGGATTGGGAGTTTATTGGGCTGGTTGTGTTTTCTGTCTCTCACACAAACAAACACACACTCTCTCTTTATTTGTTTATTTATTTATTTTATTTTTTTTTAGAAAAGTTCTTTTTACTATTGGGTTGTTGTGGTTGGTGTACGTTGTATATATCTTGGGGATTTGATGGGTGCATGGGTTTAGTATCTAGGATTTACTAGGGAGGTAGAAGGTAGGTATGTATGTAGTTGAAGGCTATGCATTGCTTGATGGGTTTTTTTACTCTTGTTATCGTTGCTTGAAGCGGGTCTCCTGTTATCTTTACTATGTACGACGCCGAGGTTGTCGATGTGCTATGGCATGACTACTATATCCATTTTGGAAGTACATACGACCTACATGCCTTGCGGTATAAAAAGTACTATGCAGGTTGTTGCTGAGGTGTTTTCTCGATCTAGCTTTATGGGGATATAGACAGAGCTTCAATATGTCACGAAGAAACAAAAGTACTGCTGTAGGAGCCAATAGACTATTTTTCTTTCTGCCAGAGATACATGATTGGCGTGGGAAATGATATACATATACTTCCTCATCTTCGACTATCTATGCCCACGTATCTGAGGTGGCTAGGGGGTATGTTCAGCTCAAGCACCATGGGACTCACCGACGACAATACGATCCTACGAAGTGTAATCGGGATTGCTGTTCAGCTTCTCGGTTGTTCACCATGCCGATGGAGGTCTATGGGCAATGTAGACGGCGGTATGTCGTCGATCTCCGCACATGTTGGTGTTGGTTGTGTGACCAGACTGCAGATATTTCACGGGGAACTGGGGTAAGGCAGGACGTCTGTACTTTTGGTCGACTGCAGCTGGGCCGACTCGTAGTCTGCTGAAAATGGATCAGGACAGGGAGGTGGTCTGCTTATGGTTGTGGACAAGAAGTGGGAAGCAGTCCGGATTGCAATGCTGTGTGACGCATCGAAAAAGGTAAGCTGGACACCCAACACAGCGGGTAACCCACGAAGCGTCACGGCTGCGGATGTTTTACGGAAGACCCATAGACGCGGTCTTCGTTGCGGAGGAGCGAAACGCCATGGGCGGATTTGGAATCGGATGCAGCTGAGGCGTTCCCAGCGCTCATGGTAACGAAGGCCCGCGCGACCAAGGTCTCTCCAAAGACATCGGGTGCAGACGGCTTATTGGGCTCTGGATGGGTTGGTGGTACGGCGTCTACCGTTGTAGGTAAGCTTTTATGCTTCTGAGATCAGATGGAAAAGTGATCCCCTCTGGTTGATGCGATTTCGACGTTTCTTTGTATGACGTCCCATTTTGGGATATGCCGGTCGTAAGGCTTATGGCATGTCATAGTGGAACAAAGGTCCCTTTCATGCGCTCAAAGGCAATGTACGTGGCTTGCAGTAATGATCATGCTGTTGCTTGCGAATGCTTATGGCTTTGCCTAGGATAGGAAGTGTTCGCTTGACTCAGAGCTGGCGCGAAGGGTAGTAGCAGGCCTCTCTGTGGGGTGTCAGCTTGTACCACTTGTTCTTGACACAAGAAAGTTAAAGGAACAGTGGGTGCAAGGACGCTGATGTAAAATGTGGTCAATCATGGTCGATGCTGCTTACAATGCGCATCCATTGTCGCATTATCATGTGGAACAGTTGCGGTGATGACGCTGCTGGAAGCTCCATCCGAAGGCTGAGTAAGCCACATGCAAGACGCAAGAGTTCCTCACCACCAACCATTCGATGGAGAAGAGAGAGGATGAAGATGTGGAAGGGAGGAAAACCAAATGACTCAGGGGCGTCATCAACCGATAGACTCTATGTACACGCAGGCCAAACCACAACAATGGATGAATGAACATGAAAACAATATCGCGAGTCAGACATCGGATACACTAACCTCATTCGGGTCATATTGGATTTTGGACAAGCCGCGACGCCCAGCGCGGGGAATCGGAAAGTGTCATTCGCACGGTTGGAATGACCTCCATCTCACCCCAGCAAGAGAGCAATGCTGAAAAGGTCTTCCTGCAACCTAAGGTTCCGGTCCTATGTTGATCTGTGATAGACTACTGCGCGTTACTGACCTAAATGGGCTCGTATGCTTATGGGGTTTAACGCGCTACCAGTTGATATCCGCTGTCTCAAGACAGCTCATACACAAACCCGAGTAACTCTGCGTGTGACTGGACAATGTGATCTTACCCTGGATTAGAGGGGAGTTAAAAAAAAAAGAGGAGAAAAAAAAAAGAAAAGAGAATAAGATAGAATAGAACGATACAGAGGGGATCTCGGAGATACTCCTAGGAAAAGAAAGTGGATAGGTTGGTCTTGCTGAATGGATTGCATCCACGGAGTACTATTGTTGCCAGAGTGGGTTATAACAGGCAGGATTATTACCGCTCGTTAGCTCTAGACTGCACTCTCCTCAAGTCCAAACAAAGGACGAGGGCAGCATGTGGCTTTTGCTTTGATGTGGGAGTTCAGGCGGAAAAAGAAAAATAGGGAAAACCGCCTAAGGATCGTCCAAGTCGAAGGAGATTAGGAGAGGATTAATTTAGTAAATGGCTGTGGCTTGGACTGTACAAAGATAGATACTATACGCTAGCCACGGCAAATAAGATAACAACACCGATGCCTAGCTGTTTATTATAAATTAATTAACTTGTCGTTATAGCCGACCAACCAAGATTAGAACTGACCCGTTAAGCATCCGATTCTTATCACATTGCTTCATTGCACAGAAGAAGTATACAAAACTCCCTCATGACAAGGTGAAAACGAAACGGAAAAAGAAAAAGAAAAGAAAAGAAAAGAAAACCCCTCAATATTCCTTTTTTAATTTAGTGGAACCGAAGCTATTTCCTATGCCCAAATAAACCGGTGGTCACCGAGGTATCTCAAGTATGAATGTAGGTATTAAATTGTACACCATCAATGCGTGGTTTTCATGACCGATGGAAATTAAAACCAGCCATTACTAAACAGGCCAGTCAACACCTGGCCAACAACTCCACAACCGCTGTGTGCTATGTGACGACAACGTTTGTCGTCGGATCACAACGGCTTCAGTTGACGTTGAGCACGTATGACTTGATTTGTTTACGAAGATGGTTACCTAGGTTGGAGATGTGGCGCGACTTTTTTATGGAGACTGACTGGTGTACAAGTTAACGGTCGATTGCTATATTTGGTTCATACTTGAATGTCAGTCCAAACCGGTGGATGGGTTCCAGAGGTGAGACAGGATTCGTAATGACCAAAATGATACAGTCAATCCTCCCCCAAAATGATATGGGGATGCCTAGAGTTCAGGTTAGGGTCTCCAGTCTGTACTCAGTACTCCGTAGGCGCTTGGGAGATACTACAACGGTGGTTCGGTACGGTTACGACGGTCTCTGTCGGACGGTACTGGTGTGGTGAAAACCTACAATGTGACTGGTCAGAGCGGGGAAGAGAGTGAGTATCACGCTGTATCAAGGATCGTGACCAAAAACTCCGCTTATCTCCATCTGGAGTTCTGACTTTCGGGGCTTCTGTCCTCCGTCAGAGTATGGTATCCTTTATCACGTAAACGTTCAAAAGCGGGACAAGGATGGAACGTAGAAAAAGAAAAAAGAAAAGAAAAAAGAAAGAGAAGGATAAGAAAAAGGAACGAAAAAAGTAACAAAGCCGTGGAGCCTGATCTGAGACTTTACGCCCCAGCCAGAATGCATCGATGACCATCTGTGGATATCGTAGGTGACTTGCCAAAAGGACCTTTTCAAATGAAATAATAAAATATCCCGTTTATTGTGCTCAAAGACGTAACCCTGATATGATCGTTCAGCGTCAGCCATCGAATAATATGGACCTTCATTCTCACCCCCGCCTTCGCGATAAATGCGATAAGCCCTTTTCTTTCTCTTTCCGGCCTCGGAATTCAGGTTACCCTCGGTTCCAGAGTGTAAATTAAATGAAAATCAAATAAGAGACGGTATCTGTTCGCTATATTTTTCGCATCACCATTACGAAATTCGGACATACTTGTGATAATGATGGTCGGAGTGTCGGAAATATCGACTTTCTGCTTGTTTCGACCACCCCCACCCGTTGCAATCGAAATAGTCTTCCATACGGTCCGTGCCTACAACAGATATTAACCGGGACAAACTTACTCTCGAGAAACGAACGCAGAGGTAAACACTAATTTGGCCAGCCATCCTGGTTGAACTTCGACCCTCGGACGAATGCTACCTCCTGACTGCCTCAAGGGAATACCTGCTCTCCACTACAGTTTCCGGGGTTCTGCAAAGGCGCAGACATACTACATGCAGAGGTCGCCCGAGGAGTCGTAACAACCGGTCGGCAGCGCAAGGCTATCCGTACTCGTATACCTTGGCCACAGGCTTGAACGCAGGCATGTTTCAACCGATCCAGGGAGTTGGTGTTAACGCTGCAATATAGACTTGCATGAGTTAACACGGGACGGGTGTGATGGATCGCAACTCGCCCTCCACCACGATCTTGTTTGATGATCCCCGGCTAATAATAATACTGGCCCAAGCACCATCAGGACACTGAGTTAATGGCTGCTTATTTGTATGTATCGGACCGCAAGGATTGCAAGAATGCAAGGAGCCCCGAAGTTGGAAGAGGAGGCAACCCATCCCTGCACAGTAACTGTGCTCCTAGGAAAGGAAATCTATGGTTTCCTTGCGTAGTATGGCTTATTTCAATTCATATCAGAAAGGCTGGTGACGCGATCAGTCCAAGGGGATGCATATCGCTGAGGATTATGACAACCCACGCGCAACTAAAGCACCACCTTCACATTGGTATCGTGATGGGGCAAAGAAAAAAAAGGATAAGAAATTCTCCGGCGAGCATCATTTCCAATCTCGCAGTAGACAGCTGCCCATGATGCAGTGACGGGTGAACGAGATTAAACCAATTAATCTCAATGGAAATAGCCAAGTGCCGGTAAAACAGAAAAAATTTCATCTCATCAAGGAGTGCATTGAGTGCATTGTGCGAAATCTGGAACAAGCCTTGCGGTCCTTGGATGGCCATGATCTGCTCACTCGCATCAAGGAGAAGATACTTTCCAAGATCCGACCGGTACATACACACTCTCTTTCCCTCTCTTACAGGCTGGGAGAGGTGTTAGTTTGCGCCCAGGCCACTCGATCGACCTCAAAAGTCAGACATGATCACACTTTCTGTAGGTCGGGTGTTAAGACGCTCGAGCAGGGGATAATCCACCAGTTCTGCGCCCAGGAGAGGAGTAGTCGTGACTAGTACGGGCGGACATACCCCAAAACGACCTCGGGTTGAAATTCCATCGTGAGCATATGGAGGATACTATTCCAAGCTCATTGGGGAATCAATGCCCAGGCTGCTGCATACTAGGGGTAGTGTAGTACTCCATACTCCATCGTGAAGTGAAGAATGCTAAAAAGGCCCCTCGTTCATTTTCGTGAGCGGTCGACCTGCCGTATCAACGACTAGATTTTATTTTCAATTCCGCTTGGTGGAAAGTGCGGAGGGTACCACAACGATCGCAATAGTAGGGTTGATTATCATGGGTTGATTTGAGATCAGGGTGAAAACGATGGGACAACAATATTTCGAGTCGCGGTTTTCAAACTCAGCGATGACCTTGCGGTTCTGTGGTGGCACGATGGTCATGGAGAATGATGGTGTACTACTTGCATAGAGGTTCCATAACCAGTTGATCCGTAATGTTAAATTAGATGATGGTCGTCGTATACGTTACGTTCTTCAGTAGTGGCGGTGACAGGAAATGGATCCAAAGCCTCGGTCAATGTTGTGTGGCAAGCAAATTGATCCGTACCTTCCAAATACTGTAGTATTTTGTTCTTTCATTGCTTTTTCTTTTTCTTTTTTTTGTATTTTTATTACTATCATCATTCGTACTGGAGGTCGCTACTTCTTTACTGCCGCGACAATACATGACAGACAAATCAATATTTCATCGTAACAGGTAGCTACCGAAAATTCCCCCCTTCTCTGGTTCTTCGCTTCAAAGGTTCGGAAAAAAAAAGGCAAATAATCATGAGAGAAGCTCAGTATAACTCTTGATTTATAGATCATGATTGGTTTACGTGTAGTGTTCGGTTTAGGAACAAATTAATTGGTCATACCGGGCAGATCTCTCAACCAAAAAAAGAAAGTCTAGATGGATGGAAACAAGGAAGTAAAAGGAGGCGGGAACAAAAAAGAAAAAAAAAAAAAAAAAATATTGAGAGAGGCTCAATATCTCATAAGTCGGTTGAAACGGTAAAGCTCCATCAGACGCAATGTATGAGAAAGTTCCATTCAGCGACTGCAGCCCCTTTCGTTAGGCTTTTCTTCCATGCAAGACCAAGAGCCATAGTCTCTGGAGTTTAGCCCAAGCGCGTCTTTGATCGCCGCGTCCATTGTCCGTCTCGTATCGCCGTATGTCCGCCGCC